GTCTCCAAGGAGCAGCCCTTTTAATTATATTAAACACCAGGTCTATCAGAAAACTTTGACTCATTGGCAAAAAAACAGAAAATTATCTTGTTTAAATGCTCAGGCTAAAAAGGTGGTCTGATTTACTTTTAATCCAGATTCATCCATATTTTGGCTGTGTAACCCTGAGATATTTACTAAAAAATTGTATGAGTCAGTTTTTCTACCTGTAAAGTTATTCAATACTTGTAGATATATAAACATTGATTGATTATAAACAAGGCTAGCATAGAATAGAGTTACATAATGATTTTTAAAGTGAAATAAAGTAGTTTCAGAAAATTGCTATTGGATCAGTAAGATTGAAAAATAATAAAACAAACCTTTGCAGATGGGTTTACTCTGATTCCATGTACTATCTTTAGTACAACGAATTGTGGATGAAGTAACAGGTTCCATAAGGTAGCCAGGATTACACTGATAACTAACAGTCTTATTGAAGGTGAAATCAGTCCCAAACTGAATCCCATTTGCCAATGTACCTGGATCACCACAACTTATAACTAATAAGTGGGAGAGAGGGAAGAATAAGAGAAACACAAAATTGTCACAGAATGAATTGGTCATGGTTTTAATTCATGTTACTTAAGCTGTATTGAAAGTAATTAAGTAGTGATTTATCACAATGATACTAACACCTGTTTAATGTTACCTTGACTAGCTGGGAGAAATTAAATGTTGATAATTTTTAATTTATATTCTAGTGATAATGGATTATGCTGATGTCCAATTCTATTACTTACTTAGTTTTCTTAATTATGTATGGTGTCACATCACAAAGAGGCTAAAAGCAGAGAGCTAAACATTGCTTCTATTCATATAGATACAATGGTTTATGGAGAAGTAAAATCTTGATGATTTTAACCTCATTTTCAGAGTTCAACCAAACCAATTATTTAAGTTAGCTTTGAATATAAGAAGAGTAGAGAAAAAAATGTAAAAAGTATTCATAAATATGGTCACATTAGAAAAGATACAGCCTTGTTTTCCTCTAGGGATTATAAAATATGAATGACATACTTTAAAGATAAACTTATTCGTTTGGTAGAGTAAGTTTTATGATGACCTCCTAAAGTCTACCATAATGATTAATTACTAACTTGTGCAATCAGGGGCTGTTCCAGTCCAGGTCCCATTGGCTGTGCAGTGCCGAGTCATCAGCCCTGATGTCTTATACCCTTCCCAACAAGCATAGATGACTGAGCTGGAGAAGAGTATCCCATCACTACTGAGGATCATGCCATTGGTGGGCGTGCCAGGATTGCCACAGGACACAGCTGGAAGGGAAGAAAATCAACAACAACAAAATGACATACATAAATTGTGCCCACTTAGAAATGAACAAGAAACTAACAAGTTATCATTTCAATAAATTATATGTTGATCAATAAAACAGAACCAAAATATAGCATATTATTATGAAACATGCTTAAGTATTTTTCTCTGTGAATTGTGCCAGTATGCCACAGAATAAATACAAATATGAAGAAATAATGTTTTATTTAGTCTAGTAGTAACTACAACTGAAAGGCAGACAGTAGAAATTCACCAGTTGGTATGTGGGAGAAAGATGGACAGTTACCGCCCAAGTAATTTACAACCTCTGAAAACCACCTGAAGCACCAGATGAATGTGGGTTCTGATTTCATGCTAAATAACTTTGACTGATTTTTTTGAGAATATATTGTTTGAAAGCAAATTAAAACAAATGGTCTTAAAAACATACTTCTCTGATATTGAGCTTGTTTTTAATAGTAACAGAAATACAGTTAAGAATTTTTAGCATGTTTTTAGTAAAAAGATATCAAAGATACTTGTCATAAAATGATTGCATTTTATTTATTAATCTGTATAAATCCCAAAGAAAGGTGACCCAACAGAATGTGGAGACTACAGAACAATCTCACTGATTTCACATGCAAGCAAGATTTTACTGAAGATTATCCAAAAACGACTGGAATAGCACATCAGCAGAGAACTACCAGAAGTCAGGCAGGTTTCAGAAGGGGTCGTGGTACTAGAGATATTGTAGCTGATGTTAGATGGATCTTGGCTGAAAGCAGGGAATACCAGAAGAATGTGTATCTGTGTTTCATTGACTATGCAAAGGCATTTGACTGTGTAGATCATAACAAACTGTGGCTGACTCTGAGAAGAATGGGAATCCCAGAGCACTTGATCATTCTAATGTGAAACTGATACTTGGACCAGGAGGCAGTCGTCAGAACAGAGCAAGGGAACAATGCATGGCTCAAAATTGGGAAGGGCGTACGCCAGGGATGCATCCTATCTCCATACCTTTCCAACCTATATGCAGAACAGATTATCCTGGAGGCAGGGCTCTATGAGGAGAAATGTGGGGTCAAGATTGGTGGACGATTTATCAACAACCTGCGTTATGCGGATGACACAACCCTGCTTGCTGAAACTAAAGAGGACCTGAAGCGCCTGCTGCAGAGTGTCAAAGACTGCAGCCTACAATATGGATTGAGGCTCAATGTCAAGAAGACAAAGATTCTCACCACTGGACCAATTGGCAGCATCAGGATGGATGGTGAAGAGATTGAGATTGTACACAGCTTTAGTTTGTTTGGTTCATAGTCAACTGTCTTGGCACCAGCCTCCAGGAAATTAAAAGGCGCATTGCCATGGGAAAGTCTGCTCTTAGGGACTTCTCCAAAGTGCTGAAGAGCAATGGTATCTCTTTGGAGACTAAGGTGCGTCTGATACAGGCCATGGTCTTCGCAAACACCTGTTATGCATCAGAGAGTTGGACAATGACCAAGGAGTATAGAAGAATTGATTCCTTTGAGCTGTGGTGCTGTAGAAGAGCATTGAGAATACCATGGACTGCTAGGGAAACAAACAGATTTGTCCTGGAAAGGGTTAAACCAGGTGGCTCCTTGGAGGCAAGGATTCTGAGGCTCTGTCTAACATACTTTGGACATGTTGTGAGGAGAGACTAGTCCTTAGAGAGGGACATCATGCTTGGTAGGGTGGAGGGACAGCGCAGGAGAGGAAGGCCCTCTATGAGGTGGATTGATTCAGTGACTGGGATAATTGAGATGGGATTGTCAAAGACAGTGCGATTGGCACAGGACAGAGCGGAGTTGAGTGCTGTTGTACACAGGGTCGCTATGAGCCACAGGCGACTCAATGGCACATAACAACAACAACAACATAAATCAGTGTATGTTTTAAACTTGCAGAATAATGCATTTTCGAAAATACAGATAGCTTAAGAATGTAAGGGGCTACATATTTTAGATTATTTTTTTTAAATGATCTTTTCTGTATTACCAAATGGCACCCATGTTGGTTGATTTTGGGCAAACTGCATTTTGTCTTGCTAGAGAATGATGCTCCCGGTACATGGCCTAGGTTATTGATGAGCAGGACAGCATATCTGTGTTCAGGTTTCTGACTTGTGTGCTTCTGATTCAGCCAACAAGACAGTTTAGTTGTTTCCAAGTACTTATCAAGGGAGCTCTTTCACTCTGTAACACATCTTTTGTTGGTCTTTAAAAATTGTGATTATTTATAATAGATACTGTTACTTTTATTCTTCTTCCACTATAATGCACAAGAGGCAGAGACAAAAATTTTCTCTTCACCTTTAATAAGACTTTAAACAAGTTTTAATAAGAAGAATCTATCATTTCTGAGATCATTTCTGAGACTAATAAAAAAGTCTTAAAATATTTTTATTTAGTTTTCTCACTTTAATATCTAGTCTTTGTGACAAAAAGATACATTTTTACTAAAAACCTGGAAAAAAGACACTGCAAAATTTACACATCATATAGAAATAATACCACAAAAAGTAATACAAAATTACATTCTTATCATACTGAAATAAATTACATAGAAATTTATATTGCTTCACAAGCACAGAACTCCCTAACAACAAAAACTATTACACTGAAATAAATTACATAGAAATTTATATTGTTTCACAAACACAGAGCACATTTGTTGGTTCTTCTCTCTCTGGGCCTATGATGAATCTGAATTTAAATTTATCATTCTTTCTAATATAGACCTTTCAGTAGTTTCTCGCTTGACCTTTGAGTGTGTCTAAAATTATCTAAAGCTCAAAAATTCCATGATAAATGCAATAGCAATTAAAAAAATCCATATTGATATAACTGATGATTTGTTGTTATGTGTCATTAAGTGGCTTGTAGAACCATGCCCTGCAGCTCAGAACAATGCCCTGTTCTGAGCCAGTCTCACTAATTCTGTCACATAAACTGCCATTGCCCTAGTTACTGTATCAATCCATCTCATTGAGGGTCTTTCTCTCCTGCGCTGTCCATTCACCTTTCCAAGCATGATGTCCTTCTCCAAGCATGGGTCTCCCAAAATATGCAAGATGGTACTTCAAAATCCTTGCCTCCAAGGAGAAACTTGGTTTTACCCTCTCCAAAACAGACCTATTTGTTTTCTGGGTGGTCCAAGGTATGTTCCAGACTCTTCTCCAGCATCACAACTTAAAAGCATCTACTCTTCTGTGATCCTTAGTCATTGTTCAACTCTCTGATGCACAGCAAGAGATTGGAAAGACCATGGCCTGAATCAGGCACACTGTAGTATCCAGACAGACATCGTTGCTCTTGACTACTCTGGAGAGGTCTCTGACAGCAGACTTTCCCAAATGCAATTCGTCTTTTGAGTCCCTGGCTGCTGGTGCCAAGAGTGTTGATTGTGGAACCAAGCAAACTGAAGTAGTTAACAATCTCAATCTCTTCTCTGTCTCTCATAAAGCTGTCAATTGGCCCAGTGGTGAGAATATTTGTCTTCTTGATGTTGAGCTTCAATCCATATTGAAGGCTGCAGTACTTGACCTTCTGAAGCACGCATCTCAAGTCCTTCTCAGTTTTAAAAAGCAAGGTTATGTCATCAGCATTACATACGTTGTTGATGAATCTTCCTCAAATACACATGCCACGTTCCTCCTCATAAAGTCTAGCCTCCCATATGATCTGTTCTGCATATAGACCGAAGGGTATGGAGATAGAATACGTCTTTGATCCTGAAAAACACATTGTTTTCCTGATGTGTTCTGACTACTGCTTCCTGGTCCAAGTATAGGTTATACATGATGAACACAATTAAGTGTTAAGTGTTCTGGGATTCCTATTCTTTTCAAGTTTAGCCACAATTTGTTGTCATCAATACAATCAAATGTTTTTGCATAATCAATGAAACACAGGTAGACATTTCTTCTGGTACTCCCTGCTTTGGGCCAAGATCCATTTAATGTTGGCTGTGACATCTCTAGTGCTGTGGCCTCTTCTTAACTCACCTTGCACATCTGACACTACTATGTCCTGTTTCAGTCATTTTTGGATAATCTTCAGTAGGATCTTGCTTGCATGTAATATTGTTCAATAATTTCCACACTGTGTAGGGTCATATTTTACTGAACTGGGGACAAATATAGATCTCTCAACAACAACAACATATTCTTTTTAATGCATCTTTCAGCTCTAGGGGTATAACACACAGGGACTTGCACTGCTAGCCTAAATGTAGTCTTCTGGTGGTTTGGACCCAACAATAGCTCTAAGGAAAAGAAACAAGTAATGTCCGGTCAGGGTATGTACAGCCTTAGAAATCCAATAGAGGGTCAACTAAGAGTTGGTTCGGACATAACGAGAAATGAGACAAATTAAAATATACCACAAGGGAGCTCTGGTGGCTTAGTCCATAGAGTTATACTGCTAAATTCAAAGGCTGTGCTTCTCAATAATGGTTTAAATCCCCAGCAGCTCCTCAAGAGAATGATGGGCAGGTCCCCATCCAATTAGTCTTGGAAATCCAATGAAGGGCAATTATGAATCTGAACCTACTTGATGACAATGAGTTTGAGTTTTGTGAGATTTTATTAGTTGATTCTTGTCCATGTACCTCATTTTATACTAAACATTTTACATGTACGAAAAGAAACAGACTTACAAGGGAGTTTTTTGTTTATTTTTTTGTTAAGGAGGATCACCTTTGTTTTTTGTTTTGTTTCATTTTTTAAGTCTTTATTTTTATTGCTTTTTATTGTCATGTTCTTTATAAAGTCAAGCTCTGATGGTAAAGTTTGTAAAGAGTTGTTGTTGTTGTTGTTATGTGCCGTCGAGTCGTTTTGACTCATAGCTACCCTATGTAGAACAGCCCTAAACTCTGCTCTATCCTGTGCCGATCGCACTGCCTCTGACACACCCATTCCGATTACGCCAGTCACTGAATCAATCCACCTTGTAGAGGGTCTTCCCCTCCTGCA